CCTTATAAATGCTTTATTATTATTATTATGGAGACGATTTTTCCTTGGGGTCGGCATGCTTCAGTAAAGCCACCATTCATTTTGGGTACTGCTTTCTTTTGGCCTTCTTAAATAAATGGATAATGTTTTTCCCCCAAAGAACCCTACTCTAATGCATTTTGGCTACTTTGAACATGTATGTACATCTCTTACTACAAGTCCCTGTGCAAGGGCAGAGCTGGAGGGGGGAGAGAACAAACAGGGACTAGCCCACCCCCCACGATGAGGATTTGTTTTCAAAATGAAGATATTAAATGTCTGATCATGCAGGTTATTTTGAAATTCTTTCTGAGCAGCTGCTTAATTGTGAGTTAATGCAAAAATGCACTGGGGGTACTGCTTTACTTATTCCCCCCCAAAAGAAGGAAATTTGATCTGAATCCAGCTGGTCCCTGTGTGGCTTGGACAAATTTTAGATGTCATCTGATGTAATGAAATCACAATCAATACATCAAACACACTAAAGTTTTGATTTTTGAAGGCTTATAGGTCTGTTACTTCCAGACAATGAAAAAAATTTGTACTTATACACTGTCATGACATCATATAATTCTTTATTAAACTGTGTCATTTTCCATGTTTTATTCTTTTTGTAGACTTATCTCCCAAATCAAAAAGTGTTCTCAAGAACCTTTTGAAGACCTTTTTGAAGCAAAGTAGACATGCATACTATATAGAAAGTTGTGTGATGTCAAGATCACATCACTGAAATAGCAAAGTTTTGTTTTGCATATTGGGGAACATGTGACCATTTTGAGACTCTGTAGGAAGATCTTGCATGTATTGTTTGTGTGTAAACAAAAAAAAATGTCATGACCATACCACCACTTGATTTTTAAGCAACTTTTTAATATTGATTCGTTCTATGATAATGATCCATCAAAAGCCCCAAAAGGAATAAAAAGAGAGTCTGAATGCGTGCTGCATTGGTGAGGGCATGCCATGCGCTCTGTTCAGTGAAGGTGAAGAAATGTAATCATTACAATTTTGTCTGTGCACAGCATAGATAATTAACACACATTTTATGCACAATTAGCTCAGTATTCCTTATACTTCAGCTTGCTGCCACTGTTAGTTTACAAAGTTGAGATCTAGAGTCCTTAAATTCTGCTATCCCATTGACAATATCTACGATATAAAGTTAGGAAGTCCTCCTCTGAACACATAGTAGGTACATATAAACTCAATAATCCCGGACACCATTGTTGGGACACACGGCAACTCCCCCAGTCCATATTATCATTTCGAGCTGGAGTGCAGATTGTGCAGTGAGACCCAACATTGAGAGCGGGCCCAAAACGAGATTTGGCCACAACTGTGGTGTCATTATCGGAAAATTGTATGCAATGTAATTGTTATTGTGGTTACTGTAACTGAATATTCAAATAAAAGTGCAAGTTAGGTGCTGATAAGAAGAGAGAGCTTTTTATTTGAGCCTTCTGTTTGTAAACATCAATGCATGGATTTTGATCTGCTTGTTGAAATTAGGCATGTATGATAAAAACGGACTTATGGACAGGTGTTCACTGCACTGGAAATAGCATGGTACTGATTGTTCCTGGGAACATTTTGAGTCCTTGGGCACATTTACTTCTTGAAAACAAATTATTGCAGCATTTTGCTTTCTGCTGAAGTAGGAACATTTAAATTACTATAAACAAACGGACAGATGAAATTCACTGAAAAGTACACGTATATAGAATACAAACTGAACTTCAACATTCAAAGGATATCTCTAGTTCGAGCACCTCTGCCTGTAAGTTGTCCATAAACCTGTTGACATCAATTAAAACAGAAAAATGCACTTTAAAATGCTCAACCTCAAGTCCTGTAAAGTCCATCACAATTTATTTAGTCTCAAGTCACAAGTCATTCAAACAAGTACTGATTGTTACTATTCTATTAATCCTGTATATCTTGCAACTGGCTGGAGATCTGACTTACATGTATAACCAACCTAAATGTATTTCTGCTGATGCACTGCCAGACTTATGGCCTCAAATAAAGGTGGTATAAACCCTTTGTGTTTGCTATAATTTGTCAAAATTGGTCTATTTGGCGGTTTATTTACTGTTTTTTACTATTCCATGGACTTGTGTCATTTTTTGTGTTCACTGCTTTGAGAACAAGCCAAGAAAAATGCTATTCATTTTCACACTCAAAGCACAGCTCATATAATTTATCTTGCAAAATAATCTATGGGCCACAGGATGTTTTCGAGTGCCTGAATAATGCAACAGTACATACTTTTCCTCAGTCAGGACACTACCTGAACTAAAATCTGAATCTAGTTACAACCATCCTCTATGTAACTAAGGCTTGTCTTTTTCCATCTGTTACAATGATGGAAAAATGTAACTACTCTCCTAATTTGTCCTAATTTTAGCTGCTTTGATGGAGTACTTACATGCAGAATGTTGCATAATCCAGTGTGTCAGTGCCCTTTGCACCAAAGAAATACCGCAGCAAGGTTGTTTCCTGAACCTGCATGTCCTAGTAATTGTGGTTTTACAATTGAAAAGCATGTTAATAAACAAAATAACACTTTCTGTTGCTAACACAAATTTTAGTGTTATTCATAATAAGTAAATACATGACTATGGGGATCATGCTTTGACCAAACAAACATTCATTTAAGAATAAAATTTCACTGTGAAGACGACCCCTAAAATCCTAACAAATAGACAGGACATGTACACTTAAAATTCAAGTGTGTGCACTGTTTGCTGGAATTTGATTCAATTTCCATTAATAGATATGTTTCACAATCTTTTAGGCTTTTCATTGTAACAAATAAAAATGAAACCACTTTCTCTCTCACAGCACCCGTCTTCCGTTTGAAGAGACAAGTTTGTTTGAATGTTACTGCTTGAATTTTTTTACAAAGTAATTGAGTGACATGTTATTATTCATTTCCATAGACACAATTTTTTAACGTGAAACCAATGACTCAACTTTTACAGTCAAATAAGATTTACATGAGAAACATATCTGTCTCAAATGAGACCAAACACATGCATACTGATAACAAAACATAATTGAAAGGACATGCAGTGTGCAATTAAGCTAGTTCAAGGAGCTTCTGCTGTGCTAAACAGAAACATTTCAAAGAAAAGACAGCACCTACTTGCAAGTACACCTACAGTCAATATCTTTATCTTTAAAGCACTGATTTCCACGTATTGACACTTTTTTATTTGAGGTAAGAAATTCTCATACTTTAGTATCTACATTGAAAAAAAAACAAGAACAGTTGCGTAATTTATTTTCCTTTTTCCCAAGATACTGTGTTTCCAAGCATTAATGTGCTCAGTGGTAGTAGTGTGTGTTGGGCATTTGTTGTGTACAGTGTACAAGTACAATATTGCCTGTATGTGTACCCAAGTCACTCCCACTTCTCCCTTCTGCAATAGCTATTTACATGTGCAACTGTTGCCACCATTGCCGTCAAAAGACACGCCTCATGCACTGCTGGTAGAAGTACATCATGCTTGATGCAATGTACAGTACATGTACAGTGACAAGCTATTACCTTGGGTGCTCTGCCCTATGTTGTGCACTTTTTTCTACTTACTATGACCTTGACACCAACCTGTTCATCCGTCTGTAAGTACTGCCTATATTTCATGGATGTCTACATCTCTGACCACTAGTTGTCCAGATACAATTTTCCGTGTTGTTCAACACAGTGCTTGTGGCCTTTTATCTAACATTTCTTTCGAAAGATTAGCTTTTAACCAAAATTTGATTGTCTACAGAAAACCTACAACTGACGTGAGGATAGAAATACTGCAGATGTACAAAGTAAAATCCAAGTCATTAGCACAATGTTTTACAGGAATAAAGAAGTATTCGTTTCCTTACTTTTATACATTTTGTTACTATTCTGCTCAACTTAAAAAATGATTATTTGCTATTTACTTTAGATCTAATAGTGTGCTATCACAAAAGATTTTTCTTTTACAAAAAAAACCCCAAGCATCTTGATCTTCTGTCAGTGTTGAAAACTTCTTCAGAGGATACATGTGGAATTATGGTAGAAGAAATAATGAGCCTGAGTTACAATTAGTGTCCTTGTTGATGTTTTCAGTCATTTTGTCCAACGCAGCACTTATTTCTCAGACTAGTTGGCCAAAGGTATCGAAGCATAGCTACACAGAATGAAAATGCCTTAGAACAAATATAGAAAATTACTTAACCAAAGTCATTTCAACGAGAGCCCTTCACTGACAAGTGAAAATCAACATTTTTAACACCATGACACCAGAAGATGAAGCAGCGGGAAAAATGGCAAGTACAAATTATATTTGTAAATTGAGGCTTGGACGTTTTCACGGTAGAAAGTTAAGAAGTCAAGGCATTTATTGTAGCACCATGGAGGTATCTTTGCTGTGTGTTTGGTGGTACCGAGAAGAACCAGTTCACTGGACATTTGACACTTTGTGCTCTGTTCATCTCCCAGAATAAAACACTACAACACAGCAACTAATGAGATAAGTCCCCAAACATTCAAAATTTACTGGACTTTCTTTAAAAAGTGAGTTACATTTCCTCAATTTAAATTTCGTTATAAATGGTTTTTTACTTTTTCACATATTCCACAAAAATAACACAATAAAGATGTCCAAAGCTCTTATGTCTTCCAATGTTTTGGCAATACTTGATGTGTATAAAATGGAAATGTTCTTTGTTAAAATTTCATGATGCACAGTGTCTCCCTGAAATTAAAACCACATGGACACCTTCCCAATGATAATAATGTTGCATCTGAAATGTTGCAAAATATTCAACATGATATAAATTTACTGACGAAAAATCCATGACACATAACTTTTACAATTCTAAAAATGATTATATTGCTGAATAAAGTTCAACATGCTAAGATGACATGTTGAAGATTTTAAAACTACAATATGCACTTAAAAAGTAAAAAAACCCAAAAAAACAACTGACTGTGCCTAGTGTGATCACCCTCACACACACTGATCCATGGTATCAGTATTGTTGATGGGCATTATTTTGACAAAATATAAATTACTCAGGGAAGGAACAGTTTCTACCACTTGTTTATGGTACTAAATTAAGTTTACCTGAAAAAAAGCAAGACATAGGGGAGGGGGACCTAGCAACTAACTTTTGTTTAACAACCAAACATTAAAGTTCAACACATACTGTCCATCTCCACAAACTTCTCAGACTTTGTGTGTCTAAACCAAAAAGGGGGGATTAGCATGTGCATGTCAGTAAGAGGTGGGTCAAGGCCTGCTTGGTGGTTTACTAACCTGCCAGCAGTGCCTATGAATCTATCTGGTTTAATTGTGTTTACATGGTTTCTAACACAACACAGTTAAGAAGATTCAAGTGCATTTTCTGGTCTAGCATCATAATTAACAGTCAAGTCTGTAAAATAATCTTTCTAAGTGATTTTGATGTTGGGGATCATAACAATGCTTCAAGGGCTCCCCTCACCCCTTTACAAGCTGTGAAAAAAGACTTCATCAATTAGAAAAAGTTCTTTCACTACTGTCCAAAGAGGCATTTCACATATCAATGTCTTAGTCAATGGTGAGTTGGAGAGGGGTCAAATCATGCAGACTTGTATGCATACCAGTTCTCTTGTGGGCCCACTCCCAGTGCTACTCTCACCAGAACCCTTGGAAGAAAGGTTGAAAAGTTGAGGAGAAAAGTTATTTAGACTTGCAACCAAACAACCAAAAAACCAATGGGCAAATTAAGTATGAAAATAGACAAGGAACAGAAAGAAAAAGAGAGAACAAAAAAGAGAAAAAAGGAGGGAAAAAGGAAAAGCATACAGGTATAGAGATGCAAAGCATGTGCTGCATTTACTGAGATGAGGAAAATGTTAATGCATGTTGGTACAGAATTTCTGGGGTGTTAACTCCAAACAGGCCATGTTTAGTTTATTGTTTATTTATTCTCATATTTTGCAATTTGGTTGTGCCCTAGCTGGCACAATGCAGCAACGCCCTGTATAGTTCGGTTTTTGAGAGCTTGTTAGGACAAAAATCAGAAGCTTACTTCAGAGGACACCCACCCATGCCCTCCTAATTTCTAGAACAGATAATCTACCACTTAACCACCGAAATGGTTGAAAAAAAAAGACAATTTATCTAGTTCATTCTTAAAATGTTGCATTTGTTTACATGTGACTTTTAGAAGGGAGGGAGGAAACTGCAAGCTGCCAGAGACCTTTAACATACTGGTAAAAGATGTCACAATATAACTTAAAAGTGAAATGACTGTCATATAGTACAGCATCCAGAATCATGGAGGAAAGACCATTTATTTTGATGTGGTTAATAAACTAATCAGATGGTGCTTAATGGTTAAGGTGGATGTATCTGTTTGCTTGGATATCTGTTTAGTAATGTAAGTACAAATGGCAGAATTTTTTGTTGATTTGGAAGATACACATGAATGAAAACAAAAATGATGGAAGTATGTTACATCCTAGGTTGAAGAATAAGGCCTACTGGACCCATTCCAAGATACAGACCTTGTCTGCTGAGTTCCTGATAGATTCTTGCTGTTTGAATGAATGAAATGTTTTGAAAGGAATTTTCAGTGCATCATATGGTAAACATATCATTTTCCATATAAGCATGATAAACACAGAAGCTCAATATACTACTCTGAACAGTTGGCTTGTCAGAGATGTGACAAATATGTTTTCCCATCAGGAAAAATGTTGAGTACTTCATGAAATTTGCTGACTACCAACAAGTAATTCAACAATAAAGTGTTTCCAACAGAAAGAGTCATTTATCTTACATCTGCTAATAGTCTTTATCAGGAAAAGTTCAATGTGACAGTGTTCTGAAACTGAAAGTTTTTACACAAAAGATTTTCATTGTTTGCCAATGCAATATGAAAAGTGTTCTACAAACATAACAATCCTCATTTGTCATATTCCTTTTCACTTCCCCTTCACTGTCACATCTTCTAATCTCCCTATGCTACATGACACAAAACCTACTCCCTCCCTGTCTCAATGCCTGTTCTATCTTGACATCTAACATTCATGATTATAATACTCGAAGTGTACTAACGAAAACTTGTTTGTCCAATGAAAAGAGCGTCCATGTCTACAAACAATGTTATTCAAAATAAAGTACTGGAAAGGTTTAGATGATTCTTTGAAATCATTACCAACTTTACCAACACTTGCCAATACTGAAACACTCATTCATGCTTTTATTACGTCTAAGCTCGATGATTGTAACAGCTTGTTGTATGGGGTATCATCAGTACACTTCAATCGTCTTCAACATGTTCCAAATGTGTGTGCAAGGCTTGTGTATAATATGTATAAGTATTGTTATATCACACCTGTTCTTGTTGATCTTCACTGGCTCCCAGTTAAGTCTAGAATTGTTTTCAAAAACTTACTTCTGGTCTTTAAAACACTCTACAGTGACTGGCCTGAATACTTGTCACAGCTCATCACTGTTTGAACTGACTCTCGCTACTGTCTTCATAGTTCTGACCAGAGTAACCGTATTCTTCAATAATCATCCATTCATAGTAGGACCTGCTTAGGTAATCAGGCCTTTTTATATGCTGCCCACATCTGTGGAATAAACTCCCAGTTCATGTGTGAAATGCCACAAATATAAACCATTTTAAGGCACTGCTAAAAACTCATCAGTTTAGGATTGCTTGTGAGAAGTAATATGTTTTTATTGGTATTTTAATGAATAGGTGGAAAGGCTTGTGGTACCACCATGTGAAGGAATATATCTCTTAAGTATGTGTGGTTCTGAAAAGAACCGGGAGTATACTCAACTTTTCAGACTGCGTGATCAGTCCATCATCAGAAGACTCAGACAGACTGAGCACGGAGATGGACTAAGCAAGCAGTCCGAAACATTGAGTGTACTCCTGGTTCTTTTCAGAACCACACATACTCATAAGAGAGATATAATCCTTTGCATGGTTCTACCACAAGCCTTTCGACCTATTGCTGTCTTTCACTATGAACAGCCTGAAATTCCATCTATTTTAAATAACTTTATTGGGTCGCATTCTTTTGTGACTGCTTTAATGTCCTGTTGTATCTACATATTTCATTTATTATAATATTTGTGTTTAATCGTAAATTAATGTTTTAGTGATTCTGTGCCTTATGAATTATAATGAATTTTTATATTACACAAGTTTATTTTTCTGTTAGTGGTTGTACAGCGCATTTGAATATTTTTGTAAAAGAGTTTGTGCTGAATAAATTCATTTAATAATAATAAAATAAATAACTTTAACTTCCTTTGTAAATAATTAAAATCATCAATGTTTAGAGACATACACAGGCCTTGTCACACCCTAGTCTGATGCATATTATGTTTTGTCTGTCCCATGTCCATATCATGGTAGACTTTCTGTCCATTCATAGGTTAAGGGTAAGTACAAAAGTGTTTTGCTTAACCTTACACACAAATGTTGTCATTGAATTTAGCTTGGTAGCCAACTTGCTATGTACATATATATCGATTATTAGATGACTGTACTTTATAAATATGTGTAATTTCTAAACATTTTGTTCAAATAATTTGGAAAGAATGACAGCACTGAGTAAATATGACTCGTCCTCTATCCTACATACATTATTTCCAGTTACTTCTACACAACCAACTGAGCGACCGATTGACCAACCCAGTGACCCACCCACTGAATGACTCACCGACTGACCGACCCATCCACCCAGCCACCCACCAACTGACTGACCAGCCCAGCTACTGACTGACCAACCAACCCACCCACCCACCAACCATGTGACCAACAAACATGCTCTCTAACTTATACTCTTATTTTATATGCCCTTAGAGTATTCCACAGACCTTATCCTAATTGTATTCTCAGATTCCTGAAAAAGTGCACATTTACAGACTTGAAACACTGAAAAACCTTCAACTCCAGTCAGAAATATATTGGTTATGTGTTACACACTCCTTTTTGCAAACAAAAAAACCACCTTTTTGTGCTTTAATGTATTTTAGTCAAATTTCGATCATCCATTCAGTAAACCTAAAATTATTGCACATCTACATTGTAAAAGTACATGTACTTCTCTGGAAATACACTACAGAAAGCATGGGACTATACAATGTACATGAAAGAAGCTTCTAGCAAAATTATTGGCTAACAAAATTAGAGCAGAGACAACAATATGTATGCTAAGGAAATGTGATATTGGTAAATGTAAATCTGGAAATGCAATTCACATATGCAAAGTCTTCTCTCTGACCTCTTTGCCATGTTTCAATTTCCTCTAGGTGTTGATTTTTCCTAACATTTGATTCATTTGTTTTTTAAGCAAGACTGACGTTTTCTGCACAAGTTCAAGACTGACAATTACCTACATGTAAGAGTGAATTTTTACCATGCTCAATATAAAGTTCAAATGCTGTGTTGCACTGCTAAAGACTAACACATGTAGATGCAAAAATATTATACTCTATTCTGACTTCATTTGTGCACATAGGCATCTTTCAGGCATTCATGATTTCTAGCTGCACAACATTCTTCCATTCAAAAGTGCCCTCCAATGCATGCAAGTGTATACAAACTGCACAACAATTGCGGAAGCTAGTTTGAATTGAAAACCATGAAGCAATATATTTAGAGGCAATACCTACATGCATCATGACCCATATATCCAGTTTAGTCAAATGACACAGGAAAAAGGGAAGGAACAAGGGTGAGAGAGGAAACCAACAAAAATGGGTTAGGATGTGGTGGTCAAATTCTCAGCAACAGGAACAAATACCATGGCAAAAGAGATGCTACTTGACAAAGAGAAACGTTGTGTCAAAACAATAATGCTAGAGAGTGTCACAGTTCAAATTAAATGTGACTGCATGGTGTAATGGCATTGCATTGATTTGATGAAAAATATGAATGGAAAAAACCATTCTCCTATTAAAACACCGGCATGTTGCTTGAGATTTAATCCTGAAATTTCACATGAATATTCAAAGGAAATAAAACCCACATGGCTATGCAGGAGTAAGAGCACATGGAAATGTAAAATGGATTCAATATGTCTGAGTATGTGAATAGAAACAAACAAATTAAGAAAATAAGAAGGAAATATCACAAAGCTCAGGATTTTTGTTAACAAACATGTCACAGTGAAACAACAGGCTTCCATGATTGCAATTATAACTTCCATCCCACAATGTTAATGCTTTTGAATGGTACCCTGAAGTTGGACAAGTTAATGTTACAACAACATAACAACAAAAGGTCATTATTATGAATGTGTAATGTCTTTCACCACTAATCCCTTATTGAAAACCAGTGGTTAAAGCCAAGACTGTGGAAAGCACTACTAGAATGTCACAAGTAAGAAACAAGTAACAATGTGCAGTGAGTGTGCTGCATCAGTAAGGGTTGTGAACTACAGGGAGTGAATTTGTGAAGTTGATGTGACCCATGTTTAAAAAGTATTGATTTCATTGATTGAGCTGGGATACACGATGAGAAGACAGACATGGAAGAGGAAAAACTGTGAATCAAAGATTTGGACAGAATGTTTAGAAATTGAGCATCATTTCAAATTACACCAATAAAAAGACATACAAAAGATATCAATTCGTGTTGCACACAAACGACTGTCCAAAACGACGCAAATTATACAGATCACAAACACCTTACAACAGATAAAGTCACAAACTAAGGATGGGAATTTACCTTTAATTTGAAAAACATACAGGGGACTTTCCCATGCCATTTCAATATTTAAACGTTTAGCCAACACTTTACAGAGGCCGCTGCCACTTACCTTGGTGTTTTCATATATGCACAATTATACAGTCCAACAATGCACATGGTTCAACCAATGTAAATACAGTAAATCCTTCATAACTCAAAGTTCAAGGGAATGAATAAAAAATTTGAGTTATTCGGACCTCGAAGTTAATGAAAGTCTCACAGCCATGGAGCCAATACACCTATACACATATGTATACGTAGTTGTTCCAAACACGCTCCACGGTAGCATCATTTCGGTGGCTATTTTCCACTTTTTGTTCATTCTCATGGAACATTTTTGCTCATAAATAATAGTTTTGCTAGGATTTTTTATTTTTGTTATGTCTAGAAATGTTGTCTCTACCAATAAGTATACAATTCATCAAGTTTTAAAGGTGTTTAAATGGGTTTTCATATGACATCGCTTTTGTGGTCGCATGACCATTGTAAGCCGCTCTGAGTGGAGCAAAAGAGGGCGTGTTTTTTTGGTACTCAACGCATAGGCGCACCATAAGGCATGCAAGTATACGCGCGTTTGACGCGGAGCACGATAAGTATGCATAAGGGATTTATTGCGGCATGTATGGTCTCTGCGTACACGCAGAACGTGTGCAAGAACCTGTTTGTAACCACCTGTCTTTCTTTCACCGATTGGGGGTGCACTTCAGCTCAGGCCAGATAGGCCAGTGAATAGTCCATCTGCGCATGGGTCTTGCGGTGGAAATTAGGCTAGCCCAAAAGCCTGGATTTGTTGCGGTTACGGTGTGGCACGGTTTATGAAGTGAGCCGTGCAGAATGCATGCCATGCAAGCGGATCGACAGTAAAAAGACAATGTGTGCTTGGCAGCGATGACTCAGACTGGTTTCGTGGTCCCATGTTTGTACTTTCTGAAATGATTTGGTGCCGTTCTTTTAACAGTGTCACAAAAACTTTGACTTGAACAGGATTTTTGCTGCTCGTGATTTGACTTATGGAAGTATTTATGTACGCAAACGCCTATTCTTTTGGTGGGAACAAAGCATCACTTTGAGACAAGCGGACTTTCGACTTTGCCTGAGTTTGCCTTATCAAGGTTTTACTGTATATAGATTGATGCTGGGGCATTTAAAACAAGCTTTGTTTGTTTTAGAATCCACTTTTTTCCTCAAATGGTGCATTGATGTCAAAAGGAAAAAGTATTCCAAGAATCAAATTATATTTTGCAGGTATCATTTACAATAAAAATGAATGGCAGATTGTGTCAATCAAAACATCGAACCTCTAAAAGGGGTGGCTCCATTTGAACATTTGAGAAAATCTGTAAATGGATTTGGAACCGCCCCACCCTTATCACAATCTGTAAATGGATTTGGAACCGCCCCACCCTTATCACAAACATGCAGCCACAATATAACTTTAGTTAATTAAGGAAAAAAGGGAACTTATACATTTTGAATAAAATAATTAATTCAAACCAATAATTTGTATTTCTATTGAAATGGTTGAATCTTTGCAATTTCCTTCTTGTTTTAAAGTGAAAATCATTCTATAAATAAACAAAGGCTCCTGGTACACAATTTCTTATCAATCTGTATAGTGTCACATCACTAGACACAAAATATCATGATAAATTCATTCTTTTTGTAGTGAAGTAGAATGAATTCAAATACAGTTAGTAATTAAAATTCAAGGAATAAATCACATTTATTTGACATTCACAAAGCTTTAAACCATGCCTACTGATTCTTTGTCAATGAATCATGGGCGGAAATATCTCCTCGATCGTGGGGGGACATCAATTTACATGTACACTTTTTTGTGCACAATGCATGTTTATTATCTTATTCCATTTATAAAAACTCAAAAGGGAGAATCCTTGATCCATCAATTCCTTTAGTATTTTCTTTTGCTTACAACATATGGAAGGGACATTCGACATTGTGTCCCCCCATTCCAAATTCATGGGGGAAACATGTCTCCCTGTCCCCCACCCGGGATTTCTGCCTATGCAATGAACTGATTTGGCTCAATCCAATACTATAACTGGACCAAATAAATACTGCTTTCCAACATGGCTGAAGAAATTTCCATAAAGGTACATGACAAGCATGCTTCTATGTCCCGCCAATAATGCTACATGGCCATACTGTTTCCACTTTGCTTCACAGAGTACTGCATGAATACATCATGCTAAACAGCAGGCATTGCTTAACTAACACCAAGAAACTAGTCCACAATATGATAATTGCTCAGATACAACCATTCCAACTTGAAAGGGTTATAATTTCCATTAAAAAGTGGCACACACAAAGCCTGGTGTTTTACAAAGCATCACACACTCCAACATTGCCGAAAGAAGTAAAACATAACAGCTTCCATAACACAACACAAAGGGCTACACAGAATTTTCAGAGCATAGTCAACTCTATGAGATTCAGTAACAAAAACACAGAATTAGTATAGATATATTGGTGAAAACGAAGTAGTAGGTGAACAGAAATCCAAACTACCATTAGTGATAAGAAAGACTGCAAAACCTCCTTTAGGAAACTGCAGTTTGAAAGCTTTACACTCACTGCATGTGTTATCACAGAGCAACCACTTCTTCCATGCAAGCAGACCATGCATTACGGATGTGTGCACATTTCAGGTGCTCAGTTTTGGAAAATTTCAGAAAGTTTACATCTGCAATACAGGTCATAACTTTTGTCCCTTCAATGCACATACTGAAAGACAGCATATCAGTAAGAAAATATTTCCTTCCGGGTACACTGTGGACCAAAGCCATGACATACTGCATAATAAACTATCATGTCCAAATGCATGAGGCTTACAGTTAAAACACAGAGGCCTGCCGTGTGCACACTGAGAAAGAGGAGTACCATACATACGGAGTCTAGTGTGCTGCGGTATTTGGTTAGTAAACTCACAAATTCGTTGCCCTTCTCGCTTTCTGTCTTTTTGCGGAATATCTCCTCCATCTACAGGGACAGAAATAAGTATGCCAGAATATTTCTCTCAATTGCACAAACAAATGACTGCAACTCCTAGTGGTGGGATTTAATTCAAATGTCTCTTTTTAATATTGTGGCCCCCCTCTAGAACTCCGTATCTTGCTTTGAAACTAGAGGGCATGAAGATGTGTCCCAAAGGTAAATTAATATTAGGAAACAATGGTTATAAGGACTAACAGAAGTGTGTCCAGTTCCAAACCACTTAATTCAAGCATGGAGGAAGGATACAGAAGGAGTTTGAACTGCCTGGGCTATAACATCTGGCCAATTAAAGCTTTCTGGCATACCCAGTATGTCCATAACCAGAGCTCAGTGAATGCTTGCTACGCACCACCTGTTTCACAACCATAAGCCCCCTTTGTACCCCATGATCATTGCCGCAATTTTTCACTGGTAATCTACATCCTTAAAACGTTGTGCACTGCAGTATAGGAAGTTGAATATTCATGCCATCGTTGGTGCTTGATATGATCCGACAATATCATCAAATTTAGTGCTTGCGTAGTTGCTTTTACGAGGCTGTGTACCCGAAGTGTTCATGTGCAGTTGTTGCCCTTATCGAACGCTTTCTTCTGGACTTCTTTTTGGAATAAATTTGTGAGATTTTGTGTTTTGTTTGAATAATTTTTATTATGGCATTTGCACAAAGGCGTATTTTATGAGATTTCATGATCACTCCCTGGGATGAAATAGCACATTATGTTCCTAATGAACTGAGCTTTCCAGAAGTAGCGAAGGTTTTGATGGCCCGTCTTAGCCAAATTCGTACCTAGTCTTTGAACACTGATGTATTGGACGGAGGAGACTAGAATTACAAACTTTGCATGGATAATGAAACAGTGTGTCCAAATTTAAAAAGTTTATTTATGATGGCAAAAGCAGGTCTAATATCAGGAATTTTTCTCTCTCTGTTTCCTGGTCACATCTATAGTTTGTATTTAATTGCAAGCAAAAAATTACAAGTATTGCCAGGATATTACTGGCCCCGCTTGTCTGGCTAAGATGCAGGCAGCAATTAGGAATTTTTGGAATGTTTTCTATTATTCGTCAGACGCAGCGGGGACCATCATTGGACGCTTTGAAGTGCGTGAGCTACAACTCCGTCCGTGTCTTTCCTCCATGATTCTAGTAGGATCAAACTAACACAATTTCAATTGTTAATAATACTACTAATAATAATAACAATATTTGTTCATTCAGGAAGGGATTGTTTGTTCATTCAGGAAGGGACTAGACTGATGCATCTCTTGATGCAACTCAAGTTTTAATAAAATCACCAGACAGCATAGTTGTACTGCAGGGCAGTGATTGTAGGCTTTTAAGCAATAACCTGACCAAAAACTGTTGCTTAAAATATTCAAAATATTCAACTAGAATATCACTTTTTAATCAATTTTTTTGGGGGTGGCGTTTCATTAGCATATACCTCTCCCACAAGTACATGGGTCAGCTCAGAGAGAGAGTATCTACTCAAATTACCAACATTTGCATATTTCCCTAGTTTTATGCCATTCACTAAAATCTTGATCAAGTGTTAGTACATGTATGTCCTCATCTACCACAATGCAGTGCACAGCTGTGTTCATCTTTTTTTCAATAGTGTCCTGGTGTTGGAGCCAAAAAGTGGGGAGGATAGGTGGGAAACAGGTCATTTTGGGACGCATTCTCTAACAGACTCAACCCACGTACTTGTGGGGGAGAAGTCTACAACATTCAACCTACCCAAATGACCTACATATTTGCAGAGCAACACCGAGCCGGGGGGATGGTGAGGACACACAATTCCTTAAACACAAAATTAAGTTACTCTACACAAAACTTAAGATGCAAGATACTTGTGAGTGTTGAACATAAGTGTTAATATCAGTGTAACACTCCCCACACTTCATGTCAGAATGAGCTGTTGGCCATCCATCTTCATGTGGGGTGTTTGTGATTCAAATGTCAGGATCGCCTTGCCACAGGCATACTTCTCTTACAAAATGTCGGTCAAGGAGCAGGATGTGAATGTAGAGGACGACTTCTAGCAGGCTGCTTTACAAATGTCTGATAGTGGTACACCTTGAACGTAGGCCCAAGATGTGGATACCACCCTGACATTGTGCTCTAATATGACATCCAATATTGGTAGTTGGGCATTGTATTCCGATGCCAATGAGGTCTTTGTGCGGTCAGTCCAGCAAGCCGAATATTATGCTGACCACTCTGATGTAAAGGGTTCATCCCGTTGGTCAAACTGTCCCCATGAGAGTAGGTCCATCAGTGTATTAGTGGTGCCTGCAATGGGTGTGGCTTGTAGGTTGATTGTGTGTTCCATAGTCCAGTGGAGCAGCTGCCACTTCACGAAGGCAAAGATAAGGGGATTTTGTACTGCCTTGGTGGCAGACGTATGAAACCACTGTCACATTGTCTGATCGTATCATCACATACTTGCTCTCCATGGTTGTTTAGAAATGATGTAGGGCCACAAAGATTGCCTGTAGCTCCACATTATTGATTTGCGATCCTGGGTGTTGGGGCGTCACCCTTGGAAGGGTAGTACAGAGGCTCCCCAGCCGAGGGTCGGTGCGTCAGTAGTGATCATAACCTTAGGTTAATAAGAAGGGAAGACCTGTTTTGAGATGCTCTCTTACCAACCACAACATGATGTGTGGATGGACAGTTAGGGCGATGGGAATCTGGAGTTGTAATGTCTTGTGCATAGGTGACACCATGGGTCTCCCACACTGGTCATCAAGCCAGTGGGTGAGGTTGAGAGGCTGAAGGGAAGGGTAGAAAATTTAAAGTTTTGTCTTTTGTACATGAACCATACAAATCTGCAGTCCTCCAGGTGCATAGAAAGTGAAGATAAGCATCTTTCAGGTGTACTGGTAATGCTCATGTAGGTATGGGGAGCAATAATATCACCGCGGGAAGTGTTTCCATGTGGACTCTTCTTGGCAATTTGAACTTTCTTCAGAGTGAGGAAAAAGGTTCACACACACACACAAAACGGTGTTCCTCATACCGTGTGGAACTGGGTAGGATTGCTTTCTTTTGTAGTAGTGCCTCTATTAGAGACTCCAAAGTTTGATGTTTGATTTGTTGTGAGAGATCGAAATCAGCCTCAATAGTATGTTGGTCGGAAGGGTGCTTGTGAACTCACTGTGAGCTATCCATCTGGGAGTGTTGTAAGCACCCATTTGTCTGAGGCGATCTCTTCCATAGAACCCTACTAATCACTGCAAGTGACTGCCAATCGGTTCCAAACTGGAAGCTGCTTGGGAACTGGAATAATAACCGACCTCCCCAGGATGGGAAGTGCACACTGGTTGTCACCTCATCCTGGGTGGTTACAACGTCTTGTTGAGGGGAAGTTGTGGTTATCTTGTCTTTGTCATGGTCTGCTGGCCAGCTCCGGGTGTGATGGGGTACTGGCTTGTGACTGTCTTTGCTGCTTACACTCCTGTCTTGGCAGAGGAGCTTGCCAAAAAAAAAGCGTCTGAGTTGTATCAATTTGCTTGACCTTTGACTCCAACTATTCAAGGAAATGCCCCGCAAAATAAATCTTTCCTAAATAAGGGGAGATTTTGCAATTTATAGTTCACTCCTTGTTATGGAATTTGCATGGTGTCAGTGGCATTTACCCTATGAGCAGAAGCGGTGAAGAGGGAAATGTGAATAATCTGTTTGAGGATGGTGAGAAGTGTCACATCCAAGCATCTGAGGTATATAGCAGCTAAGTCTGGTGAGATGGTGGAACCCTCTTCATATGCACAGGCCAGGAATTCTAACAGCAGGAGCATACAGGGGCAGCATCAAATGTTGAAGGGAGCAGCCTTGTCAAGTCCTTCAGTGTGTTTTCCATAGTATGTCTATTCTTATCAGGGCAAATAGCCTTGGAAGATCTAGCCTTATCAGTTGAAAGTTTGTCTCTGGCCGCACCTGGGATTTCCGGAACTGACCAGTAGTTTTCAAAATGCAGAAATTGGAAGAAGGCTAAGGATCTGTGCTGAAATGGCTGTCATTTTTTGGTCTTCGCCAGTCTTTTCACTGCCTAGATGCTGGAGTGGTCAAGAAGGAGTTCCAGAAAACCTGACACAGATGTACCAGAACTGATTGGAGTGACATTTGAAGGACAGTCAATCACATCTTCTTGTAAGGGATTTGTTTGGGAAAGCCCAGTACCTGAACCATATTCCTTTGAAGATGGCAACAAGAAAGCCCATGATGTTAAAGGTTTGCCCTCATCAGATAAGTCCAGAGCATCGGATCTATGCAAATCTTGAAACTGATCCAGATCATGGTCGTTGTGGTGTAATGTTTTGCCAACTGAAGGTTTGCTGATGAAGAAGAGTCCCTTTGGCACCTCCCATTCTAGGCTGCTGCAGTTAGTTGTAAGTTCGGAAGGAGATGCAAATATTGAAGTGGATCTGGATAGGTAGCCGCCAGCAGTCTTCAGAACTAGTTGGTGAACCAGTGTCTCAGAGGTTGACTAAAAGGCTTCCATGACAGTGGGGGATGGATCGTCCTTCCTGGCATTTATATTGCTGGAAAGGTCCAAAGAGGTTGCCAAATGTTTGCGCTTGTGTTTCCTCTCCGTTGACGGTGAGGATGTCCATGGAGTTAGGGGATCCTATAGGACTAGGATTATTGGTGAAAAACCTAGTCACTGGCACGCACTGGATTGTGTAGACGGTGGGAATGGCGGAGGTGGCCAGAAGCCCTGGCAGTGTAGTAGTCCGAAGGGCTCCAAGGGCCTGTCTGTGGGCTAACATGGTAATGTGGTGGGCCTGTGTGTAGCCAGCATCGTTGATGGGGCAGTCATGGGTTGTTTGGTTGCTGAACCTCCATGGCTGGTGGTTGATGGGGTCAACAGGGAAGGAGAGACAGCCTCACCCTGCTAGCCCTTGTGAGTCATGGGCAGTGTAAGTGGTCAGACTGCCCTTAAGTCCCTGAAGTCCCCTTTGGAGTCTCTGGCTGTCTGTCTTTGTTCTTCTGGTTCAAAGGGATAGCAGGAATGGAATTTCTGATAATGCCAAACGACCGACCGCTTTTCACATTGCATTAAGCTGTTGGCCCCCAACTTACCTCTGTCATGCCCCTCCACTGGTGGGCACAAGATTATCTGGTGTTATCCAAAGATAGATAATGCCTTGCAGCATTATACAATCTCTTGTGTTATCTCTGGTGACTGGGCTTGCCTCTGTTAAATTGGGGGAGATCAAGAAATGCAACCAGAGCAAATCACCGTCCCATCTCAAGCGGACCAACCTCAAAGACTTGGTCTGATATAGGGGAAGGGGCAGAAGATACGTACCTTATAGTAGCTATGGTAAACAATGAAATCTAATAATGATAAGGAGAAAAACAAAACATACAAACTTTACATGAAAACACATCCTTACCAAGAAAATGGTGAAATACAAGGAAATGGCTTTATTTACTAATGACACAACTGATCAAAGATTCACACAAAACTGGTGTAGGGAACAGGGAATTCAAGAAATTAGGAGATGTCGAAAAAATGCATCAAACCATGGCGGCTGAGCCATGGTGCACTACGGTAGATGGGGTTGCACCAACAGTCGATCAAGATTTTAGTGAATGGCATAATCGAATTAGGCAAATATGAAATGTAGGTCACTTGGGTAGGTTGAATGTAGTTGACTCAAATATCATTCTGTCACCAAAGGACAGTGTAGTCCTGTTTCTTTTTATGTAAATGGACCAATTTCAAGAATGCTGTATTTTTCTATTCCCTTTCAGTGGGATCATTCATTAATAATGCCTGTGGTAAGTTATAATTTAAAACATGAGCATTCAATGGGCTATCCTGAGTGTCTACTTTGGAGGTGCCATATTGTCAAAAGGTAGAAATGGGAAGCCAACAGTATTTCAAATTAAAATGTTACCAGAAGAAATTCTCTGCGGTCTATTTTCTTGTTTCCATCTCGATCAAACATCTTGAATGCAACTTCATAACCTGCCTTGGGTTCTGAAAAACAAAACATGATTATTTGACCATTTAACTGGGCAGTACCACCATTGTACACATAACCTGAACACTACTACAGGCATTAAAACTAAAGGCTACATGATTTCAATTTATTTAGATTATGGTAAGGGGTGGCTGTCAGGGTTCCTGTGGGGGTGTGCTGTCTGTAAAATAGACTCACACTCCAGAGCACTATGAAGAGGGCACTCAATTTTTTGGGGGGGAGGGGGTTTGCAGAGTATATGTAGGTGGGTGGGATGGTGAATCTACCATTTGCCAAGGACTAACTGCACACCGAGTCTGGGCTGTGCTTCTGCTAATTTATTGTCTGGGGTCCAGGAACCAGCCTGTGAAAATTGGGCAGGCACTCATTATTTCCATCTTGCAATAAGCTAAATTAAAAAGAGACTCACAATTCAAACAACATTAGGAAGGACTGCAGATACACTTAATAAACATGATTCGATACAAACTAGAATTTAGACAAGTGTGTTTGCATAAACACAGTGTCTAAACTGTTTGTTTGTATGTTCAGGCCCTTTTTGGCCTAGTTGTGCTGGCGGGGTTCGTTGTGTAAATGTCTATTTTATCTATAACAGTATTATAATATAATTTGAATATTTTAATTTTCCTACACATTCTGGATTTTGAATGCTTTTTATGATCATGTACATGAAACGCAATTCAGACTTTGGCTGCAATGTTTCTATTTTAAAATAATATAATAATAATAATAATAATATACTGGGCATCAAGGAAGAAACACAAATATCCAGGCCTACCACAGCCACTAGCTGAGCAAACCTACCTTCAAACAAGGGGCAACTCTGTCCATTGCACCCAGTATTTTATGTAGGCCCAGTCGCAGTTCCACCTCAACGGATGGAGAACTGCCTAAAAGTCAAGAGCCTCCTCACCAAAGCAGCATAAGGTTTTCTACTAGTACACCCCAAAGTGATGTAACAAATGTAACAAATTCCATTTGTGTTAGTTCAAATAAGTTAGATGCAATGTTGAGCATGCCTGAGACTACATGCACAATGCACTTGTAAATTGTTTCCTAAACACTTGTGTCATTAGAAATTATCCCTTGTTATTGCATTGGAAACATAAATAATTTATTATCATTACAGATTTCTGGAAGCACACCATTTTATGGAAAAAGATTATCAATCTACATAGCCTGCCGGCTTTCAAGTTTTTCATTTTTTATGGAAGTGACTGCGAGTTCTAAAATGCACATTTGACAAGAAAGGAACTAATAATGTATGTACCTTTATTTTCATGCCACGAGAAACGTATTAAAGAAATATTTATTTCCTTAAAGTCCAAAAAATTTTTCTGACAATGAACTATTATAGTTTTCTCGATCTTTCAACAGTTAATTCCATCAAAACTTGGACTGCTCGCACAGCGTACTGCACCGCTTGTGCTTGTTCATGAAATCGCTGGTGAACATGCCTAAGCTACATTCTTCCCGCTACCAGCTTCAACACGTGGCCGTTAGTCTTGTTCCAAGGTGGAGATGGAAAATTTTGAGTACTGCTCATTTGACCTTCAATTCACTCAACAGGTTGAACAGAACCTCTTTCCTTTATGGCAGAAATGAAGGATGAAAAGTAGTCAACGATTTGTGTTTGGCAGAGTGAATGACGGTAATTATAGTGCATATCTCACTGACCCGAACACGAGGCATCTGCAAAAAAATGCTTGCAGTCAGCCCACAGCCACATGTCCGTGCACCAACAGAGAGTGGTCGATGCATGCAAGACTATTAGAAACATGCATGAACACCGATCTCCATCCGGGCCGATGCCATTGCTGATCTTGCCAGCTTTTCTTTCTTATGAATGGTTTAAGTTTAGTCGGCAAACCCTGGAAATGTTTCACTTAAATAACTTTAGATCGCTGATTTTATTGGAGATTTCATTTACACTGCCAAGGTTTGCGGAATTTGGGGAATTTTCCAAATTTGGCATCACAGGCATTTTCAAATGCTTCAACAATTACATGCATTTCAAGTTTTTCATGGCAAAGGAAGAATTAATGTCTGGTTAAGGGCTGCACTGTTTAGGTTTTCTTAGGTTCTGAGTATATTTTTGTAATATGTGACAAAGTAAGCCTACCTTTTCCACAACAGTTTGCTTCGATCTTAAAGATTAAAACGTGATGTTGGTCTAGACTAACGGACGATTTTTTTTGGAAGAAATAAACACTCCAAGGAATAAGTTTCTAATTGGTGTCAATCCTTCAGATGTTACAATTGAGTTTCCAATAAGAAATAGAGGGTAATCAGCGACAAGAAATTCCATGGCGTGTGGGAAAAACTCCAAATCTCCGATGTAGTTTTCATCGCTCACAATGTAGCACCCAAAATGCTCAGCATGTTAAGGAGTCACAATTGGCAGGAAGCCAACAGTGGGCCATCAGTGTGCTGCAGACAAATGGGTCGGATTACTGCATGGTGCTGCTATGATTTTGCAAAGCATTTCTTCAAAAATCGACAGATCATGTTAGACAGTAGTCTTTTGGAATCGCTGGACTGTTCCTGGAATTGGATCTCAAGGTTATGGAAACAGCGGCGGCGTGGATTTAATTCCTCAAAAAAGTGGAATTGCGACTCCGATTCCAAATTTGATTCTAAATCCAATTCAAGCATGGATTCGCCCAAACCTAGCTGTGATGTTAATGTGTGTATGTCATCATTTGTAATTTTTAATTCATTTATTTTCTTAACATTTTTATATTTGTGTAATGTTGTTAGAGTGTCATTTTAAAACCTTTTTTTTAAAAACTAACTTGGTACAATCTGTCATTTTTTACTGTAACATACATGTAATTTGGCCATCAGGCCACAAGATGCATGAAATAAATAAAACTTAACCTAACATGCATACAGGGCATTGGAGACCTTGTTGTTAGGCTCTGTCAAACTTCATGAGGGTGAGCTTGAAGTTAGCCTTCTCCTTGTCTATGAGGGGGATTTTCCTGGCCAGTTTACTAGTGTCTGAAGTCAGCTTATCTTTGGTAGCAACAGGCATCTCTTGGGTGGAGAGGGAGTTCTCGAAGTCCTCCCGGGAAAATTGGAATTAGGCTGCTGCTCTGGGGGTATATGATCACTGTCACTTCATGTCAGCAAGTACTTCAACATAGGGATGCATGAATGGTCCAGCGATAGCTCTGGAAAAAGTGAAGTCGAGGTCTCCAGTCTGGTGGGGTGGCACTTGAAGATGTATGGTGAAGTCTTTGTTGGTGTTGAAGCAAAAGGCAGGCCCAGAACCTGGATCATGTCTCTCTGGAGTAGACGGAGATGTGCTGTTGAAGGTATAAGGCTGGCTCTGGAGCTGATGTCTTTGTTCTCAGCTGATGCATCCTGTTCAGTTTGTGGATGGTCCATGGTGCGTGTGGCATCATGCCTGACATCATGCCCAGGATCCAGGTCGTGGTGGGGACTGTGCCCATGTCCATGACCCATGAAGGAGGGTCCCATGAAGGAATTAGTCTCTTAGTTGGGGGACGCTCAAGAAACATCCCCCGCAGTAAATGTTAAGAAAAGTATTGTTGGATACAGTCAAACCATCTTGGAAGCCATCGTGTATAGCCGCAGTGGCTGAACGGTAGTTACGGATAGCTGAAACCTGGAGATCTGACTTAAACAGGTGCATGCAGAAGTCAGCCATAGAGGTCACAGAAACTTCAGTTGAAGAAAAACCTCGCTCTGAACACCACAGAGTAAAATGTCCTAATCTGGAGTCATAGATGCTGTGTATAGACTGGCGTTGACTCTTCGAGGCCATTTCGGCAGCTTCATCAGAAAGTCCTGCTGATCTGAAGGACTGTTTGACAATAGCCAATAGGTCAGGTGTAGTGACCTCAGATGAGGGTGAAACACACCTGACTTCGGCTGATGTAGCAGATCCGGTCTGTCAGGAAGGATCACTGGTAACCGGACGAGCAGTCTAGTCAGACATGGGAACCATGGCTCGCGTGGCCAGAAGGGGGTGATGAGAAGGACACGGCAGCGTTCCCTTTAGATCTTGGAGAGAACTGCTGGTATTAGGGATATTGGAGGGAAAGTGTAGGCCAACATCCCTTCCCAATTGACTTGAAGAACATTCATTACCCAGGCTTGTGGGTGGTAAAAACTGGTGCAGAACACTGGCAGTTGCGCATTCTCCACTGAGGCGAAAAGATCGATGTTTGGTTTTTCTACTTCGGTGAAGATCTGTTCGACTACATTGGTGTGCAAAGTCCAATCTGTGGGACGTACCTTTCACTGAGAGAGAGCATCTGCTATGGAGTTGTGGACACCAGGAATGTGAGTCGCCTGGAGATCGATGCCATAATCCTGGGCCCAAAGGAATATCTGTCTCGTCAGGAGGCATAAGCGGGGAGAAGGTGTGCCTCCCTGGCGATTGATGTATCACACAACTGTGGAGTTGTCCGAGCGGATGAGGACTCATTTGCTTACGATGCTTCGGCAGAAAGCTTTAAGTGCAGTGAATATGGCCTGAAGTTCCAGGATATTGATGTGACTCCCTTGGAGCTGGAGGTCCCATGTTCCCGATGCTTGAAGCAGCGGTAAGGAGGCTTCCCAGCCCAGAAGAGAAGCGTCCGATGTTATGTCAGTTACTTCTGGGTTCACCTTGGGGAAGGGCACTCAGAGAGAGAGGTGCTCCTTCACTAACCACAACTGAAGATGGGGTCAGATAAGTCTGATATGGGGACCTGGAGATTGATTGAGTCCCATTTAGGCCTGTAGAGTGCTAAGAAATGAAGTTGTAGGGGCGCATGTACAGCCTGCAGAGGGGAATGAGATCCACCATGCTGGCTATCTAGCCAACGAGACGAAGCAAGGCGAGGGCCGGAGCAGACTACTCGGTAGAGAAGACTTTCACGTAGTTGAAAAGATTGTCGGTGTGTTCAGTCGTCGGTGAGATTATGCCTCACGGAAGGTCGAAAGATGCCCCTAGACATGTTGGGTATTGTGTTGAAGCGAG